AAATTTATTTTCGATATTATATAAATTATTAACAAAACAATTAAATGGAATTTTTATCTTTAATATAATTTATATACAATAATTCAATATCAGAAGCAATATAAATCATTCCGAATTATACCAATTATAAATACGAATTGATTATATACTACAAATTAAAGATTATAAAGATAAAGAATCAATCTATAATAATATAAACAAAAAGATTCAAAGAAATCTACAAGGAAATAATAACAAAATTGAAATTCATTATCGAAAGAAATATATATTATTATAATCAGAAATATAATTAGAAATTAATATTAAAAGAAAAGAATAAAATCTATCTATTTCGAAAAAATATCAAAACAAAAAGATTTAATACAAAATTGGATTATAAGAAACTTAGATTATTCAAAATCAAAAAAATTAAAGAATCTTTGAATTATAAATTAATATTATTAAAAAGTATAAATATATATTCAGTATTCTATATATCCTTATTTGAATTAATATTTTTAAAAGTATTTAAAGCTTCTGAAATAGAAATCATATTTATAAATCAAAATACTGAATACAAAATAGAAAAGATATTAAATTATAAATATATTAAAAACAAGATCAAATACTTAATGAAATAGAAAGATTATCCCAACTCCGAAAATATATAGGAATTTAAGAAAAAAATTAAATATCTGAAAAGATTCTAAAAGTTTTATTGATAAAATCCGGATTTATTCAAAAGGAAAAGGAATTCATTGTTTTTTATAAAAAAGGATTGAAAGAATCAAATTCGTTTATAAGAATTTCGTTAAAGTTGATAAAATTAATTGATAATTGATCAAATTGACCAAAGGTTAATTGATCAAATTGATCAAATTGATCAAATTGATTAGGAATTAATTAACCAAATTGATCAAATTGATCAGAAAAGTTAGAATTAACAATAAATATCGAGAATATAATAATTTCCTCTTTTTTTTTTCTTTTTTTCTTTTCCAAAATATCCAATTTATCAAGATATTTGAGACCTTATTCAATCATTTTTTTACAACGATTCTACAAATAATCTTATTATTTTCGAAAACAAAGAATTTTAATTATAACTTTTTTTTCTTCTTTACAAAGTTTTTCCTTTTATTTATCTAAGGATTCTCAATTATTCATTTAAGGAACTTCTTTATTCCAATTATCTTTCAAATACTATTTTATATCACAAGGGGTATAAGATTATATATATTCGGAACAACAAATCTTTTACAAATTATTTAGAATTTTTATATAACAAAGGCTCTTTGTATAACAATAGATATACAAAATCATTTCGATATTAGAATTTTCAATTTCAATTATAAAACAAGATTTCTTTTTGTTCTTTCGATGAATTTTATTGAATTATAAATTATTCATAATGAAAAAGAGAATTAAAATATAAAACAATGAAAAACTAATAAACTATATATTAATTATAAACAATCAAAAATAATATTTGATTAAAAAGAGAATAATATTATAAAATCATTTTAAAAAGTATTACAAGGTAATAATCAATCTATCTTTATAAATTTTGATTTTATTGAAAAGCAAAGTAATTTGTATATAAATTTATATAACAATCACTTTGTATAATCTCTTTATCTTCAACAAGCTCGAATATATAATCTGATTCTAATCATATAATAAAACCTCTATTACAAGATAACAGTCAACCTATCTACATGAGCTTAGACCTCATCAAAAAGCGAAGTAAGTTGTATACAAATTTGTATAATAAGTGTTTCATATAATCTCTCCACCCTCAGCAAACTCGGATATATAATCTGATCATAATTATATAATAGATTATAAAATCTAAAAGATTTAAAGAATCGTATTCTAGATCTATTAGATCCTTATAATCCAATTGATATAAAGATTTATATAATTAAAAAAGGATTCCTTTTGTAAAGCTTCGTACTCAAGATTAATCATTTAATATAATCTACTATTAATTATAAATTGCAACTATTGATATTACTTTAAAGCTCCTACTTGATATCTAATTATAAACCATTCGAGGATCCAGACCACTTCCACATGATCTAGATCGCATCCCTCGTAACAACCTCCAGGCTCCTTAAAGCCCTTAAGAATATAAACTCCTGAAGGCTTCCAAAATGGATTAATATATAATCAGAATAATTTCATAGTTTAGAAGCTTCGTATTCAACTTAATTATCAATTAGTTTATTTATATTCCAATTGATTTAGTAATATATTCACCTTCGAATAGATAATCAATGATTATTAACCTTAATCTACAACTACCAACCATACAAAAACCTGAGGCAGCCGCTGCCTCGACCAGATCGTTACAGCGATTTAGATCACGTGGAAGTGGCCTGGATCCTCGAAAGGTTTATAACTAAACATCAAACAAAGATTTTAAAATAATATCAATAATTGCAATTTGTAATTAATAATAGAGTATACTAAATGATTGATTTTGAATACAAAGTTTTATAAAAGGAATCCTTTTCTAATTATATAGATCTTTATATCAATTGAATTATTTGGATTTAATAGATCTAAAATTTGATTCTTTAGATCCTTTAAATCCTATAATTTATCATATAATTACAATCAGATTATATATCCGAGTTTACTAAAGGTAGAAAGATTATATAAATTGATTACTATACAAATTTGTATACAAATTACTTTGTTTTTCGATGAGGTCTAAGCTCATATAAACAGGTTGATTGTTATCTTGTAACAGATATATATATCCCGATAGTATATTATAAGAAGGGAATTGGAAGAGAAAGTTGAATTAGATTATATTATAATATATCACTTATAAAGAAAACAGAGTTTAAAATAAACTTTAAAACTTTTTTTAATTATTAGTTTGTTAATATTATAATTTTATTATATATAAGGTTTACTTAATGAATAATAGAAAATAAAAAACTTGTTTAAATAAATCACGATCCTGACAATCTGATTGGTCTAAAATACCCCGGTAAATACCCCAGTAAATAATCTAACAAAAAACTTGATATAAACTTTACAATCTTAAACAAATCTGATTTAGAACTTTTTTTAACTCTATTCAATTGAAATCATTTAATTCATTTGATTCAATTTTATTCATTCAACTTTAAAATTATTTAATTCATTCAATTCATTTTATTTAATTTAAAATAATAATAATAATAAATAATAATATAAATAATAAAAAATATTGTTATTATTATAAATAACATTAAAAAAAATATATATAAATAATAATATTAAATTATATTATAATTATTATTTTTAAATAAAATAAAATAACCCTCAATCATTAAAACAAGTCGATTGTAACGATCTAGTCGGGGCAGCAGCTGCCTTAGGTTTTCGTTTGGTTGGTAGTTGTGGGTTAAGGCTAATAATCATTGGTTATCTATTCGAAGGTGAATATATTACTAGATCAATTGGAATATAAATAAACTAATTGATAACTAAGTTGAGTACGAAGCTTTTAAATTATGAAACTATTCTGATTATATACTAATCCATTTCGGGAGCATCCAGGAGCCTATGCTCCTGAGGGCTCCAAGGAGCCTACGGGAGCCTACGGGAGCCCACGCTCCTAGAGGCTCCATCACGTGACTAGGATCAGACCATATGTCCGAGCTTGCTGAAGGTGGGGAGATCATATGAAGCGGTTGCCATACAAATTAGTATACAAGTTGCTTGGCTTTTCAGGGAGGTCTAAGCTCATACGGACAGGTTGACTGTTACCCGTAACACTCTATAAAATGATTTCGTGACATCGATATTCTATCTGCACCCTGATATATATTTAATATTTAATTTATTATAATCTTTTTAAATTTTAAATTTTCATTAGACTGTCTCGAAAAGTCAGGGGTCCGGGGGGCGCAGGCCCTTTGTATTATTAAATATATATCAAAGTATTATTATTATTTAAAATAATATAAATTAAATAAAGAAACTTTTATTAGTATTTTGGATTTTATAAAGATTAAAAATCTTAATATTTTAATTAAAACAATTTCTATAAATTAATTTTTATTAATTTCAAAAACTTTAAAATTTTTAAAATTTATTGTTATTTATATAATAAATCTAGAATCAAAATTTAATTGATTTCAATACTTCATTATAAAGTTATTAATAGATCAAAATGATGATTTTTGATATAAAAGAGTGGCCCAAAAGAGGGGTGGTCCAAAAGTAGGGTACTAGACTTATTGAGCTATGTAGCTAGACTTCTCTCTTCCCCGCCCTTTATATTTCTAGCTCATGTGAGCGAAACTTTCCTGATGAAATCTACGGTGTATTATTGATTTTATATTCTGATATGAAGTACTATCGACCTGGGAAATTTCAATCTGGTCCCCCGTGGAATCCGGCTTCTTTTACTACTGGCTAGGTCGGTCTAAACAAGCACGCGGGCATTGGGGTGCACGTGAACGGTTGAAGTATATAAAGTCCCGCAGATAGAATAGTAGTTGACCTCAAACATTAAAATTTATCAAGGCAGGAAAAGCGGACAAGGTACTAGCTAGACAGTCAGACTTGGGCAAGAAGATATTTGATTTGCTGAGTCTCGGAGGAGGTTAATCGATAATAAATAATAATTATTATAATAATAATATTATTTATATTAGTAGTGGAAGACTTAGTCGTATTTAAGCTCAATAAGGTAAAGTCGAATATAATCATAAATTGAAGTCAGAATAGTAGAGTAGAGATTTTATTGCTTTTTCTGCCTTGTTATTTCAAAGGATTCTTTGAAGAAAACCTTTGTATTTATAGTATTTTAATGAAATTCTAGTATATTCTATGATTAATAATAAGATAAATTTGAATCAAATCTTATAGAATCATTTTATATAATAAAAAGAAATAATAACCAATAATATTCAATCTGATAAATAAGAAATTCTATACGCTTTCATTTCATTCTACTCCCTTATAAATCAATCTGATATGAATTATAATCAAATTTTCATATAATAATGAAATTTAATAATATATATGAATATTATTAATATATCACGTGATCATCCGATCATTGGTTCGGCTAATATTATTAAGTGATTTAATAACTTATTAGAAAATCTCACATTGAGATTGCCAATATACAAAAACTACGAGAGATCGAGAAGAATTGGAAAATATGACGTGTTGTAATATTATTTTTAATAAAACTAATTGATGATAATTATTTGATTCATATGACTAGCAATATACGGTGTTCATTAATGATGCAAAATCATTGAGCTTGCGAGTATTATTATTAAACAAGGTAAAGAAGTATATTACAAGTTTCCAGAGGGACGATACTGGACCAGAATATAAAACTCATTAGAGCTTCCTTATTTTCCCAAATGCAAATGAGTCTTTGTTGCACGTTATTCTTCGAAACTTGCGTCCTGTAATAGCTTTTCCAGAAAAAGCTCTTCTGGAATTAATGGTCCAGCCACATTTTTGACCCATGCCCCTCGCCTTAGCATTGAAATTCAGAAGGTATGAAAACTCACAGGGTCAGAGCATTCTAGTTCTGGTGGCCGATAGGTACCTACCGAGGAGTAGCTACGTATACGGGATTATGTATGCGTTCAACTGTGATTGGAAGGTTCTAGACTCCTTTGTTGAGTTAATAGTTATTAGAGACTTGAACGAATGCCCATTCATGACGGCTGCCGTCATTGAGATGCACAGCAAGTATCTTTGTCAAAACAGACTATAGTGAATCTATCTTTGGTGAAGTCGGTCTTGGACTATCATTTAAATTTCTTAATACTGTCGTTTATCAAGAGTAAAGACTCCCCCTGATAGCATTGTTTTATGCCTCTGATGATCTAGAATCTCCGTTAAATGGATTCTTGGGGCTAGAAAACTAGTCCCAGGTATTGGGATCGTCGTGTTACTTGTCTCATGTAAGATACTGATGGTTCTCCTATATACCCGAGTTCGGATCTTGTGTTACAATGCTACACCATTTATGAAACCGGATGACAACATTGAGAGGACATTAACCGATGGAACATCCGATGAATTACTCATCATATACTGTGTCATTGCGTCTGTATGATTGTAACTCAGATATCTCTGATCCATTTACTTAGCTTTCAGTGTCATAGTCCCTGTGCATTACCATGGCATTCACGGTCAAAAGTTACACAACTAGTGGGGCATTTTCGTCCAATGTCTCATTTGGTGATACAAGAAACAATCATCAAGCGCTGGCCCACGTTACTTAATACTGGCACTTCCGATGTCAAGTAGGCCGTGCGGTTTTTGATAAGATGAATGGAAGAAACCTTCCTTTGCTTATTTAGGAAGTTTTAGTACTAGATGTTCCGAGGCAATGTTATAGACTGACTTGACCCCTCACTCGGATTTTTGTTCCTTCCATTACTTCTTGTCATTTTTGTGTACTGTACATGTGTGTTACGACGGCGTAACATATCCTACACCATGTGATCGATTAGCTAATAGGATCCTGTGACAAGTGTTACCTGATCCAGAAAGCCGATCGACTTCCAGAATACGAAGATTTATATAATCAGGATGAATTTCTTTACTATAGAGTTTTGTATTCAATATTAATCATTTAATATAATCTATTATTAGTTACGAATTGTAATTATTTATTGTTCTTATTTAAGTCTTTGCTTAACGCTTAGTTATAAACCATTTCGAGAGTCTAGAACATTTCTACGTGATCTAGACGGCAAACCTCGTAACAATGTGAGTATTCATCATTGGCAAGGCAGTTTGAGTTGAGACTCGAAGAGTTAACCAACGGTCTACATCTAAGCTTCAGAATGCATCCACTTTCCATCTTCATTCAGATTTTAACGGCTATCGGGTTTGGTTTTGTCATACCTCTCTCGGTAAGAGTATCGCCTTTATTCTCATTTCCATCTTATGATATAGTATTTGATGAAGAATATTTGCAATGCACTTAAGGAAATTACCAATCTGTCCAAGAGACCTTCAATATCCAGTGGTAACATCGTCATGTACAGCGAAAATGCCCAAATTGTGAGTATCATTAAAACTCCCGGCACTGATCCCTCGGAATGATACTGACGATCATCCCTATTGCAGGAATCACATTTATCAAAACGTTCATTCGACTCCGATGCATTTATTGAATGTCTGCAGGAGTTCACGGCAAAAGGTGGCAGTCGGATATTCAAATGTGTCTCGGTTCACATCGACCCAGAAAAGCATAGTGGAGGATTTGATCAGGACACATACTGAACTGGGAAGGAGCGGGGAGAGAGGTGGAGGGAAATGGGAGCGAAAGATGCATGCCTTAATTGAGCGAATACCATGGACTTCCCAAAATTTAGGGAGTGGTACTAGAGACTGTGGAATAATTGAGATTCACACTCTTAGCTGGAGCGAATCGTATGAAATCTGGATTTTGTAATTTGATGTCGAGGAAAAAAAGAGGGAAACTTCATGTGGATTAGGACTCTGGATCTAGATTAATTATTCAAGGGCTAGATTGTACATATACAAAGACTGTCTCTTACATGAATGATGCATGAAAGCGAGAAGTTATGAAGCATGGATTCAACTTTGACGGGTTGGCAGTGAGGGATGATGGATTGTAATATTGAAATGTAAATCGAACTTCACTTCAAACAATGGAAACAAAAATTCAACACGTTATAGTAGAAATATGTCACATAATAATCTCGATGAAAAGGTTATGCTACTTCGACATGACTAGGCATCTTGCTTATTTGGCTCAACTCCAGCGGTGGATCATTGGTGATATTTCTGCACCATGTTCTAAAGTCCACAGAGGTGCAGTAGGAAGCTGGATTCATGCCGTGCAAATATGGTGACAAAGTAGCAGCTAGATCATATTGATCGACGTCTCTTGTTGCAAGAGTTGCCCTTGCTATCAATCGCACTCGTTGCTCATATCAGATTATCACTCCTTGCTCTTGTGTGAATTTTTTTGGATACAGAATTAGGTATTGACACTGGTCTTTCGTTCTTCATTACCCTCTTAAGTAGAGGTACTGCCGTTAGGCTTCTATTAAATAAATAATTGTGAATCAACGTAGCTACAATAGTACTTGCAGGTGGCATCGTACTAAAGGCGTCTTGGGATGAGACCGGGAAGAATGATATCAACAACTCTGAAATTTAGCCGTGCGCATCTCATGTCGCTCTTAGGTATCAGCTAGGTCCTCTAATAAAGGGAAAGTCGGAGCCAAAGTCAAGAGCTAGATGCTCCATCTTGCCCATATTTTTGATGGCCAATTCGAATACATCGTGATCATTTGCGGAATGAGAACTGTTAGCTAAAGACCTCGAAGAAGAGAAAACACGCCTCAAATCATTGTTAAAGTCTCAGATGTTAAACATAGCATTCAGGTCGTTGTGAAAAAAAGCTGGGACACCATTCTACGTACCTCGTGGCTCAAAAACAGAAACTCTGAGCGGACATTTTGGCCGGCAGCCACCAGATACTGCGAATCTTTTTGGAAAATATAGGGTTTTGTGGTGAAACAAACTCAGATGACATTGACTAAATGTCCAGACCCCGCTCAAAGATTAAGATACGTTTTATTTTAGCTAATTCAACACCATAATAATACATCAAAGTCGGTATGATCCGCGTCTCAAACACCCTTCATCTCCGTATCCACAATTTCACCAATCTCTATCCCAGGATCATCGATACCCTCAATAATGAAATCGTCCGGCATAGTGAAAACTTCTAACGAGTTTTGTGCATTTTCGTCCGTATGCCACTCTGCAGCATGTTGATTATAGTTCTTTTCGTAGCATTCCTCCGAACAGAAAAAAGCCTTATGTCCACTGCCCATGCAGACTTTGCACAAACCCATTCCACCATAAGTTTCTTCTCCATCCGCGCCGAGTTCCAAAAGACAACAATCTTTCCAATGGGCACTCAGGCAGTAATGATCGGCTTTATCGTGAATCTCATGATCCAGAAGCGCATGACTGGGACAACAATAATAGGATCTTTTATGATCCCTATCTTCTGGTACCTTTGACGCAACCCAATCGCATAAAACACATTGTATTGCACCTTCAGGTACGGTTAAGTCCACGTCCTCATCGCAACCATCATATGAGCAAAGGGCCTTGCTCTCTTTTGCCACCTGCTGATGGTGTTGGTATTTAAGGGAATCTTTCTCGGCTTTCTTTGCTTTCGCCTTAAGATGAGCAGATTGAGCGAGAATAAGTTCATTCAGACGATGTTGGAGCTGCGCTATTTCGAATTCTTTCGTACGAGAATTCTCTTTCTTCATGGCGGCAACAACTTCATCGTGTGGAATCTCATTTTCAAACATGCGCGCATATTTACTTTTAAAGTTTCGTACGCTGGCGGAGTCAGATTCTAGAGGGCTGCAGTAATATGTGATGTAAAGTGGGATGCGTTGTTTATTGATAGTAGTGTTGTGAAGGTGAAGGATGAAGTCTACTTGATTCGGATCTCGGCATATCTTGATGTACTCAGTCAGGTAAGCATTGAGGACTTTCGAGACATCCATCCCCTCATCCAGTTCCATAGAAATACGGTCCTTCAACTCCATAAAATCTTCGGTATCGTCTGGTTTGTGTGTACAAAGATCTCTCTTCAAATGTGCCCGAAATTCCTGGTCTACCCTTTTGTGGATATCGTCAAGACTGTAGACTTTAGGTTGTTCAAACATCGACTGTAATTCGGTTTTATAGTCGAATAACTTAGAGTACCAGCGATGCGGATCATCTGATAGATACCAATCCTGATAGGCTTTGCGAGTTTGACGATCTTTTCCAATACAGCTCTCGCAATCCTGATGGTCACTTGTGTGTGGTGATGCGAAAGGACTCTCGTAGAACTTCCTAATACTTTCAAGGGTCTTTTCTAATGCTTCATGGTCGATACGATAGATGTCTGCATGGGCAAGACGCTCACCTAATGTGAGAGGATATGTCTGGCCTTGCGGTCTCAGCTCAAATGAGGTGTTACTGTGATAGAGGTTAAAAAACGCGTTGTCACGTGAACTATCGACTTACTCCATGACCACTTTATCCTCCGCTCCTCCTTGAGATTCAAGTCAACTATGGAGTAAAAATCAGCCAGTCCATCCAGGAAGATAATATGAATCAATATGTTGAGAATTAAGTTATGTGAATTAATATGAAGGAATCACTTTGTTAGATGCTCAAATGTGATTGCTATCATAGCTGGGAATGGCGTCCGTTTAAAGCTAGCGGCCGCTGGATGAAAGACGGACCGATCAATAACCAGTAACAACCAGTAACCATTCTCTCATGGGTGAGAGTTTTCATTCTTGTTCACTCGAAAACCTATCAGCCAAGACACAATGGTAAGCTTTTTACAAGCTAGTATTGTTCTCTTTTGATTGCAATGGGTTTGCGATCACAAATACAAGATCAAACTCCCCATTCACCTGAGTAAGAGCCAAAGTAAACAACAAATTCACTAACATGTTCTTATGTATAGGCCGACAAACTTCGCGCCCAGCAACAGCTCGAGCAGCTTCAGCAGCGCTATGTTGGAACAGGTCACGCTGATACAACAAGATTCGAATGGACGAGCAACATCCAGAGGGATTCGTATGCATCATACGTGGGGCATCCGCCATTGTTGAGTTATATGGCGATTGGCTTTGGAAGCCCTAAGGAGATTGTTAGGAAGAATATGATTGAGGTGTGTTTTCCCTTTAAACCCATGTGTTTGCTTGTATATATTTGGAGGTAAAGTTAAGGAGACTAATGTCGAACAGAAAATGATCCAACCGGTCGGAAAGCCACCCGAGGTGCAGGATTAGGTGAACTGCTTGAGACGGGTCTTGTGTATGGAGATCAAAGAAAGGTGTGTTTAGGATTTTTGCAATACTATACCACTTGAACTGGTTCTAACTTTTTGATAGGAAATCTTTTGCATCAACTAGTAGACTGGATCAAAGTATCAATGAAAGGAAAATGTCAATGAAGGGCACGCACAACGAATCAGAATACAAGTCTACGTGAGCGAAGCGGTGTGGAAATTATACGCACGCAGGGTCATAATATGGTGTTCATGGCGCAAACATATAATGGGAATTGAGATTGATTGATATCAGTCATTGTCGGGAAAAACAAGTTTTACGAGATATCGCTTGTAGTCGAGGAAATACTACACAGCACATGACATCGCTTCGCTGAACCGTATTTTCTCCCATACTTCTTTTCCTGGATTCGTATTTCAACCGGTGGCAGCCGATCACAGTTCCTCGAACGTCAATGCCATTCAAAATGAATCACATATCGAACTCTTCTGCCAGGCTCGGGTACAATCGCATAGGCTTGAATTCAGAGTGTGCGGTTCAGCATGGATACCGCACAATTATTTCCTTGCGCGAGGTCAATTGTGACCACGATACAGACGAAAGTTCCTAAATTATCTGGGTTTTGAGATTTCCACATGTGGTAATAAAATAAACGTTTCTCTCCTCACCATTCACCTGTCCAGGATATTTGAAAAAAATCGATATATGAACCAGATTGCTCTAACCCTAAATATCTAACAACGCTTATTCCGTGGTGTGCATTATATTTCGCGGCCCTCCCATGCTCATAAATTGATAAGTGATATCCACAAACTAACGCCGCACAATCATAAATTACAGTATAGCGAACACATTGACTGATTATTCGTCATCGTCATCCTCATCATCCTCATCATTTTCGACATCCGCTTCCCTTCGTGGCCTTGCTCTTTTGGAAAACCTCCTAGAGCTTGAGCCCCCATTTGCTTCCGGCGCCGCTGCCACGCCTTCGCTTTCTTCGTGGGTTCTCTTCCTCTTCCCTAGACTACGCTCCAATCGCTTGTCGAGATCTTCGGGAGCATTTTCGCCATACACTTCCTTGACAAGCCCTTGCACACCTTTCGTACCGACCTCTGTTTTTCCACGAGGTCCTACTCTCCATTCGATAATCTCGTCTCCGTCATTTTTCTCTACGGTTCTAGTTACGTAGTTTTGTTGCATCATTTTCTTCAAAATTAAAGTGGTTTTCTCCATTGGCATATTAGTTTCCGCATTTAACTTTCGTAGTAGAGACGTAAGTTTGCTGTCAGTCATCGTAGAGTCAGGACTCAGCATTATTACAGAGACAATTGTTGTGTAGAATCCAATGTATGTAGCTTCATCCCACTGGCTAACCACTTTCGAAGGTTGTATGATTGAGGGCGATCGATATTCGATAGGAAGGACGCTTGTCAGGATATAGGAGGAAGCCGTCGTAGCCTTCGATTTCCTGCTAGCCTCCTCTGAGAGACAGCTTGGTTAGTTTATGAAAGTAAATGATTTTAGGGTTTACTGACTCAACCGCCCTTTGACGGTTACATTTTCTTTAACGGGTAGTTCCACCATTTCCATGCCAAATACTCTTCTTAGCGAATCTTGTGCTGGTTCAAATATAGATTTAAAGGATCTCGTCTGTGCACCGAGAACTTTCTCCTTGATACCGGTCCTGGTAATGGGCAACCGTTGAAACTCACACGCCAAAGCATATCTGACCAGCTTTTTGACAACTTGATCCAAAGACTCCTCTCTATCCAGACCCATGCCTTCTCCTCTTGTATCATCTTCATCGCCGTCCTCTTCCTCTTCCTCTTCTTCGGAATCTGGTGTTAAATGCGTCCGCCGCCGCTGAGTGGTTGGAGGTCTGTCTTCTTCGGACTCTTTATCTTCCCTAATTTGCTAGGGTAATGAGCTTCAAGGAGCGGTGTTATTGAGGAAAGGAGAGTGGTAGAATGAAAACTTACGACTTGGCGTCCAACTCTTCGAGAACTGGAAGGCATATTAGAAGTTCTATGTATAAATCTCTATAGGATTAAAATCATCAATGCCTGTATGTGACGTTATAATATTGCTCTTTGTTAGGAAGCTGGAGAAAGCGAACATGATTTTGGGTAGACGCGACGAACCGCGTTTGAGCGGAAAAACTGATTGTCGGAAAAACTGACCGGCAAAAGTCGGCCGACTTCCCCGATTCTTCAAAAATTATGAAGATTTCTACGAACAATATGAAGGCAATTATACTATTTCCTCGACGAATTTCCAATCGCATACATGATTCGCCGACACATTTCCGTTGCGCATATATGCTTGAGATGCCAAATACGATTGGGTCAAAGATCTCTGCCATTCTCGGCTCGAAGAGCATACTCCACCGAATTGCCAAAAGATCATGAAGAGAATGGGCTAGGAACGTCAAACGGTCAATCACAGCACAATGAAAGCCAAGAGGGCGACAGAGGCACTGAATTACCCTTCAACGAAAAGGACGAAATAAAGCGGCCCGTAGGATGGCCACCAGAACAACAGGACGACATTCCCATCAGAAGACAATACTTAGGCAGGATTCCAGAGTTAAATTATGGCATCAAGCATCTGAGAGGACTTAAGCCCAAGTTATATGGCCGTAATGGAGACCAAAAAGTTGGAGATAAAGTGGAATTATCAGGAGTGAATGCGTTAGGGAAGACTGCTGAAGTCCTTGTCTTGCGAGATTCAAAGTTTGAGTTGCCGAAAAAGAAAGAGAAAGAATATATCATTGAGGGCCAGGAACCTGAAAGTATTGATATCTTGGCCAGAATTCAAAGCGAAAGAGGGATCGTCTCCCTAGAAGATATCAGAGCGAACATTAATGAGTTTAGACCCGACCAGGAGAAAATACAGACATGGAGTGATTTCAACGACCTAGTGCAATCTTTGCAAAACAGTTTTACAATCCCTCAATTGAGAACGTACATCAAGTCATACCCAGCAAAAGAAAGGATGAAGAAAGTTCCTCCCCTTGGAGCCGGGATTCTATATGACGAGAACGCAATTTCGCGATCCACTCCCTGGGTACCAGAAATCTCTCCAATTAGCCAACCAATTGATCATAGCGCTATTCGGGGATATTCTGCATCATCCTACAATGATAGACAAATTTTTGCCGTCAGAATTCTGAGGGAATGCTGGCGATTGGAGGTTCCGGAACTTCTTGAGGGGATAGGTGAAGTGGAGGTGCAGGTTCAAATAAAGGACCTGGACTTCCTAACAAGTGCGTAAAGGGTGTCTTTCGTTCCCTTCTGTGATGAAGCTGATGTAGTGTGATTTTAGCTCAAGGATACATGGAAGCTTTGATCAAACGATATTATCTCAATGAGCCCGAGAAGATTGAAATCTATCGACCCCGCCAAGTTTTACGTATCACCTCGAGCCGAGAAAAATCAGCCCTTATTATCGGCGAGATCCAGGATGGAATTCGAAGTATTAGTCGTGACGAATTTGACCTGAAGGAATTATGCCCCCCTCATTTACTCCGAGGCTGGGAGGCCAGGATCCTCACTCCAGAAGTGTTGACTAAGCTTGGTGAATTGACGAAAACGGGTATCAGAAGGCTGCCACTCCAAGAGCCTATTGTTAGTGCTCTTAAAATTGTCCCTTTATGTCTCTTACTGATAATGTTCAGCTCTCAATTTCATCTATGACAACCGACAAAAAACCCAATTTGTCAAGACGGGCTGATGTAGTGAGACGCTTATTGCTGAATCTAGCTCGGTTCGATAAAAATAATCAGCATGCAAGGAAAGTTGGATTGCGAGATTTTGAAGAGCCTTCTCACAAAGTAGACCTACCTGGAGGTTTTGTTCGATTTCCAGGGTCGCGCGAGCTTTCTTGGCACGAAAAGCTACGTACTTGGAGTCGATGGACGTCGGCCACTCCTAAGTCTACAGAGGACAATCACCTACCTGAAAACGATCAATACACATTTCCCTTTCCAACCGTTGGTGTAAAACTATCTGGAAAACTGCAGCCAGACCCCGACCCTCAAGGAGCCGAATTTTTATGGTCTCACGAGTATTCACCCACCACCTCGATTAAAGCCGGCACCATTCTACACAATATAACTAGCCACCGAATTGGTAAGTATATTGACGATGACACAAAGCCTTCACGGGGTCAGCCCACAATATCTTCCGACACAACATTGAGCATGAACAGCCTAAAAGCCGAGATCGATAGTGGATCACTACGAATTTTTTCCCCTCAAGCTCCAAACCTCTCAGGACTTTTTCAATCAGATCATATTGAAAAAGGAGTGTCTGAACAGGCAGTGCAAGAAATTGTTATGCAATTCAAACCTAATCCCTGGGCTCTTTGTCCAAACGGCGAGCCGCTTGGACCCTCCGCTTTCGATGACTTACCTCCATTAGAGATGTCTTTCAGTCTCAATCGAGAATCCTATGAAGTTAAGTTTCGGGAACTTCATGCTATTGTTTCTACCGAGATTGCAGACCTGATGCTCCCTGAATTCAAAGCGGACCTTCAATTTGAGAGGAAAATTCGTTCAAGGATGTTATTTGAGAACTCTAATCCAGGACATGGGCTGGATGAGTTAAACTCGGCTGCAGCAGCTGTAACAGATTTCATTAAGAATTCTCAGCTAGACCTAACGAGTGATCAGCAATTAGAAACACCACCAAAGCTAGTTCTTCCTCTCCCTAGACATCTATGCACTGAAAAGAGTTGGAATCGCATGGGGGGGAAACCACAACTGGGTGTGAATGTTGAGTACTTGTTCGCCAAGCTCGAATATAGAAAGACGGCACCTTACAATTTCGAAAATCACGAAATACGCTGCACGAGTGTTGAGGCTGGAAAAGCTGGTGGTTCACATCTGGAATTGAGCCTCAGATGTCGATCGATGCCTAGTCAAGATGAATTCAACCACACCATGAAGGCGGCGTTGCAGATCGTACGATTGATGGATATGAGGAATATCACGAGCGTTTATGGGCAAATGAGAGAAGTATTCGCGGAACGGAAAGAGCCATTCTTGGGGCCTGATGATTTTAAATACGTACCCAAGAGACCGAGTGATTTTTTGGAGGTGAAAAGACATTACGAAGAGGGAGAAGAGAAAAGATCTAGATTCGATAAGAGACCAGGGGAAGGGGACGGTAATCAATGGGACATTTTGCCAGATACGGCACGGGAATCTCGCGGTTTTCAAGGCAGAGGATGATCATGATCTAAGGAAATTTCCGAATTTATGAGCTATTAACATTGTAAAATTCTGTAATATATGGCATCTGTTGCCTCATGAAAAAGAAGGGGATCCGGAGTCATACAGAATACTGCGGGCACTGCTGACAGTCCTTTTTTTAATAACTGTTCATGGGATTGCCTTACTGGATAGTAAAATACTACGCATGAACACTCATACTCATATTCCACACCTGCCCATGCCAAATATCTGAATTCTTAGTTCCCAGCACGTCTTGATCTAGATCAATCAATGTTCTATATAACCAATGCTGTCTCTAACATTTGTTTATTTTCATAGCTAGACCATGGAGCTCGTGCAATTTATTCCACAATCCATTTGAGCTCAGAGATTCTGGAGACTGCACCACTTTCTCCTCAGTCGTAAGTTACGCAAAGGCAAGAATTCGCCTTTGTCCCCCTTCTTCCTCCGGACAATTACAATAGCTCCCGCTCTATAACCACCCTTCTCCTGGCTCATGGTTAAATGTGTGGAATCTATCACCACCAATGTCATGAATCTCGTTCTCTTGAAATCCCACTTTTCACTTGAAATCTTGCGCTATAAAAGGGTACCAACCACATTGGTAGTCAGTCAGTCAGTCAGTCCTGGCTTCGGCACCCGAATCATGATAAAGCATTGACTAGAAGCTTGCCATCTACGCACTTCAAAATTTTATCGCCCAATTTCTACCATTCATATGATAGCTTCACGGGCGTAAGTACGTGCTTCATGTAAACAAATTCGAGTATTCACCGCCGGTTCCAAAGTATCTGCGTTAAATTCGAAATTTCCGCGCCACTCAGAACTAGTAAACCATGCTCGTCCATTCAGATAAAATGGGGTACAGACAAGCAGGAAGCACAAGGTATAGATCGTGGTAGGCCCATCATCGTGAGCATGGGAGGTGATGGTAGGGGCGTGGATCCTTGCAGATGGTGAGATACATCAACGGAACATATAATTGCCAACTCAATTGCGCCCGAGTGAAAAATGATATTCACGTGTGAGATCGCTGTTATGCTCTGAAACAGGTGTAACTCAATACCATGAAGACCCGTTGTGGTGAAAAGGCTGGAGCCTGCCGATATGACATGACCTAGATTTCTCGTTGAGGAATAGAAACCCTCCCACAACAAACAACGTCCTCTCCCAGAGGAATCCACTTCACTTCTTTCATTCTAAGTGCCTCCTTCTCCCGGTTTTCTCTCTCAGGAGTAACGATAACTCCCCCCTTTCCAAGCCATACCGGCGCAATAGTTACTATGATAGAACTTATTAGATTCTGACTCCTAGCCAGCATATCATTAATAATCCCAGCACCTCCTTCAATCATCAGGCTTTCAATACCTTCATCGCGGAGCCCTCGTAAAATATCCCCCCAAAAGAACTTTCCTGTTTCGTCCGGTGGCAAGAATAAGAATTTTCCACCTGCCTCGTCTAGGAAATTTCTTTTCTGAGATGAAATCTTATTTTCCTGCTGCGCGGTAATAATCCAAGGTGCTTTGCCTTTGCCGTCTTTCACTAAGCTAAAAACCTTACTATCTTTTCCGAAATCCCATCTACCTTTTGGATCAATTATGACTGGTCTCGGCTGCCCCTCCAAAGTATCTCCTCCTCCATAACCTCCTACGCCTTCTAGCCTACAGTTCAAACTCGGATTATCCGCAATTGCAGTATTGACACCAATTAATATAGCATCATGTTTAGACCTCAGATAATGCGTCATGGCCTTTGAGTCCGGTCCGGATATCGGTGAGCCTATTCCGGGGAGAATAGTAATTTGAGAGTCCATAGAAGTAGCGTATGTGACTGTTGTATAAGGAAGTGACTGCAAGTGTGCAGCTGCAATGGAACTCTTGGTCGGTAGGTATTCATCTAACTTGGAGCGCTCAGTTGCCGGGAAATGGAGAGCGCCCCTGGTGGAAGACATCATCCAACTTTAAGGTGTAAATATGAAGCGTCTTAATTGATGGCTATGTATTGATATAAATGTGTTGCAGGGCACAGTGGGCAGCAGATTGTGCCGAGTCTCTAGTTCTATGTAATAACATTTTGGTCATGTGATCTCGCGCGGGATTGAACTAATGATGATTTTGAGACTTAAATCGAGGAACCCCTAAACGCACAACAATCTATACGAGGGACTTATATCAGGTATAGCTTACGTGCAGCAAGCAGTTTTACTTTGTCCTCCATTTGTACTTCCATTGGCAACTTCTTTTGGCTGCGTGTACTATCATGGAAAGCGCAGCCGGAGCGATGTTACTGTTTCATTATCACATTCTAGCTCAATATTCATGATCAATACTCTGCTGACGAACACACAGTTTATTATTGCGTTGTTTCACCAACGAATCGGATTCAACTCAATCGAATCAATACCTCCTTTGACCATGGTTTGTGCTCTTCACATGGACATGTATTCCATTCTATGGTGGCGACGTCAATACTTCTACATAGTGCTATATCATAACTCGCAAACGTAAAGGGTATTGCTTAGTATCGTGTAGCAGTCGTACCTATTTATAGTTTGGATCACAAAAACCGCACATTTACTTACTGCCCAGTCCCATATTCTAGGACCCACGAGAAGGTTCCTTTTCCCGTTAGTCAAGCTGCGAGCTTACAACCGAAATAGCAGTTTCTGTACTACACAGCGAAGTTATAAAATACCTCATTTTTAGTGAATCTGACGTTTCCTGCACATCGGAAAATTAGAGTCACAGCATGCACTAAAGTATTTACCCGACGAAAGCGGTGCCAGTAATGGGCTGAAAATGGAATTCATAAACTCGTCGGCATTTCACCCGCATCTCATCGGATATTTCTTCAACCCCAAGTGGCTTTAAACTTCTGCGGGTCCTGTGCTTCGGCCCGCTTAATATTGTCCTGCTGGCGTTTTTATATCAGCAAATACAAGTGCACCAAAAGACTCAAATGGGAGTTCTTAGATCCTTATGCTTATTGTGAATCTGGAAGGGTTATCGATGTGCGAATCATTAATGGAACCCTTGACTGTGGCTGTGGCTATGGACGCACATCTTGTTCCCTGGTATCCCTATGTGAAGGCACGACTTGTCACTACCAATACGTGATTTGTCTCCAGCTTCAATGGCCTCGTGCATTTTCAGCCTAAATTTGAACCTCGTATTACCTTTGCTGTCAACCACGATGTTTGCAGGCACGTCATGTCCTTGTTATTTTCCCTTAGTGATTCTCCTCCGAGTGCAACGCTATTCAGCTGTACTCAGAGAACGGGAAACTTCCAACATTGACCTTGAAGTAGCTGTTCATCATCCTGGAAGGCTTTGAAGCTGTACTCGTCCATCCAGAAAGGATAGCACAGTCCCTTTAAGTATATACCACAGGATGTTAATCTACAAAGGGAGTAGTAGCTTCCTATACATTCTGGCCGCGCGAGTACGATGCTGGAAAGTTTGTATGGTCTTTGATGGTGTACATTTAGTAAGGCCGCTTCGGGGTAGAGTCTACACAATACGTTTTTCTGCACGGAGGAAGCATTTTCGGGCACCCAAATTTTTTCGTTATTTGCCGTGGGCTCCCAAGCCTTAACTATACTTATTTTTTGTGGGTTCACAACGCATGCAGGGCGAAGCTGTGTTTCTGCACACATGAGCTACGGTGTGCGGTGGTGTAAAATATGTAAGCGGGGTAGAATAACCATAATTTGACTACAATCCCTTGTCATCATCAGAGCTTCACTATCGGCATAATCCATTTCAATCACATTACCTTTAATGCACAAATTCCCTTAGTTGTACCATGACGCAATAAGTAGAGAAATAGAACAAAGTCACACCATATGTACATGGATCCATCTGTGCAATGTTGATTTGGAAGGCTGTCGTTCTCACTCCTCTTTGGACAATGCTAAAAGAGCAGGGTTGGTAGTATCCATTCCATAATCTTTTGGATGTGGATAGTCGCCAGTCTTCAGCTTGATACTTTCAAGCCTCCTGTCATGGGGTCGTAAACGTCGTATGTTGTCATCCGTCGTCAAAATGTAGTGACACCTGTAAGACACATGCGGAGTAATGAGGGGGTTGATCAACATAAAAAGGCCGAAATATCGCTCGTTTGATCTCTTACTTCATCCTCACTCTTCATCTTTGTATTTGTTGGCCTCACATAAACGATTCTTCCTTCATCATGTTGCTCCTCAAACCCCTTGCACTGTTCTCATCACTTGCTCTGGGCTCTGCCATCCCAAATCTCGAGAAACGCGCTCCATATCAGACACGAATCTTGGATACTGGAACCACCTTTGTAGAAGAGAATAATGGATGGTGGCAATTGATTGAGTAAGCTGTCCTCCATCTACAATCTCTCTTCTCGTTTCTCTATCATACAAGCCGGGGGGCCTTTTCTCTACTCCTACCCAAGAGTGACTTTTTGATTAGCCTTACTAACAGGAACACAGCGCCACTGGTGATGGCAGACCAGACTTAGCCTACATCAAGAATAAGAACACAGGGACTGGATCTGTCGAAGTTCATATTGCCTCTTCATCTTCCAATTTCCAGACTCGAATTCTTGAAGTCGGCACCACATTTGCCCAGGAAGATAACGGAACATGGCGTCTATTCAAATCATCCAACTCTGTTCTCCCTGATTTGATATACATCAAGACACAAAATACCCCATCGGGAAACGTAGAGGTTCACATCGCTAGCGGAGCATCAACTTACAAAACACGTACTCTTGAAGTTGTTACCTCATTCGGGAATGAGCAAGATGGTCAATGGAACGTGTATGATTATGATGGCGATGGAAAGCCAGACTTAGTCTTCATTAAAACTAGCAATACCGGCACGGGAACAACCGAAGTATTCGTCGCATCTGCTGCATCCAATTACCAAACAAGACTCATCAGCACTGGGACTACCTTTACGGTGGAAAACAACGGTTTCTGGCAACTTGGGCCTTACAGCGCTAATGGAGATTTGATCTATATCAAAGACGTCAATACTGGCACCGGGACAACAGAGGTCCACGTTGCATCGAGAGCATCGGGTTACAAAACTAGATTGTTGGATGTCGGCTCTACTTTCGCTCAGGAACAAAATGGAGTTTGGAAATTGATTGACTTTAATCTTGATGGCAAGCTCGATCTTACTTATATTAAGTATCAGAACACTGGAACGGGTACAGTTGAAGTACATGTTGCTAGTGGTTGATTTGGAGTAGTTGGGATTGTATTGGTGGTGGTGGTATGAATGTGGAGTTAGACTATAACTGGTGTGAAAACCATTCTTTTGGCTCGATTAAATGTGGTAAACAGGTATATATGGAATTTAGGGTTTGTTTTAAAATATACAATACCCGTTTCATCTGTTTATGATAGCTTCCGTACTTATGATGGTTTATTTTCACATAATGACACATTCCCCCCCACATTTCCCCTCACATTCCCGCATTCATTTGCTTTCGTGTCCTATACACATCTCAGGCACGTGACATTAACTTCCCATTCAGTCTCTCCTTACTGGGAATAACCAGATGTACCCTGGACTCTCTACTGCTCAAACACAGCAGTCCAATCCTCTTTCCTCATCCACTCCTCCAAACTCGTCATGGGGCATTCAACCCCAGCCTACAGAATTTTAATCAGCTCCATCTCCCTATTTCCACCAACGCAAAAAGTTCAACATACCTTCTCAATATCCTCCCTCATCCACAAACTCTTATCACCTCCATCATATCCCGGATCGCTAGAATAAGCAAACATAGCATACAATTCCTCCCCGAAATCCCTATCTTCCTCTCTACCGACGAAATCTTCTTCCGTACACTGCTTATACCTAGCAGGTTTTCCGGTGATTTCGCTCCATAAACGAATGTATTCGCTCCAGGAACAATTGCTACCGCATGCCATGTAACTCCTACCAGGCGAAAGCTGAGAGACGGCGTAGATGAAGGAACCGAGGTCGGAGTTTACGGAAAGATGAGGAACTGCTTTATCCGGGTTCGTGGGGAAACTCATTTGAAAGCTCCCATCGAGTCGCTTGATATCATTCGGATTAGCTGATGGGTTTTCCTCTCCATGTTACCTAATATAGACGATTAAGATATCAAAACGAAGTAATCTTGAAAATCCCATAACCCTAATATCTAAATGAATGAACGAAAGAAGAAACAAACCTTTCCCAAATAACTTTTCATAGCCAATTTATAACTACTTGTAAAATACCCCGTCATAACACAACTCATCTTCCCCGCCAATCCCCCCTCCTCTCCATACCTCTCCCTCACATAATAAGGAAACACATCAGCCTTCGCATCATGATGATACACCTCCGTAAATTTCCCACCACTACTTTTCCCCGCATGACTCAACGTACTCGCAACAAATCCATTGGCATCAAGTCCAGAAATCACACTCGGATGAGCAGCCGCATCGGCTATATTCTTCCCCTGTTGATACTCAACTTGATAGGCATATTTTCGACACGAGATTCCACGCTCCTGAGCCTGTTGTCGACTGTCGGGTCGGAAAAATGGTTCCCAGTAGTTTGTCACGCTGAATATGAGGTTTGCGCCTTGAAAAGCGGAGATTAGTGATGTTACGTCGTCTAGATCCGCTTTAATGATTTCGACGCCTTGAGCGGAGAGTGATTGTGATGTGGCAGAAGAAGGGTTTCGAGTTAGGCCGCGGACTTTGTAGTTGGGGTCTTGGAGGAATTTTTGGGCGACGGAATGTCCTTGGTTACCGGTGACTCCCATGATTATTATTAGTTTAGTCATGGTGATGGTGATGGTGATGGTGATGGTGGTTTTATTTGTGTACCCGTGATCTATTTTATATGAAAATAGCGTTGGAAATATAAGTGGGGTACCCCACAGTCATTCAATTTCTCAGCATCAGCATCATCTTCAATGTCTGCCACTTTCGCAACCAGTGTCAGATGAGCACCGTGAGTATATTTTATTCATGAATCTGCTGAGTAATCTAAATCTCCGCTGCGTAATCCTACCAGATAAGTCTTACTTTAATAACCTTTCCTGGGGATCCCTACCGCTTCATCCTTGGACAATTCCTAAGCGGTAGTAGAGCCCATTCCCTTTCCTAACTTCATAGTTTGAGTATGGTGCCAAGTGTGTTCAAATCATGGATCCCTTCTTGTTCCGGATCCAAATGAAAGTCCGGATGGAGTGTGGAACCAAACTCAGAATTAATCTGAGAACAGTATCCCCACAGTTTTTACTGATTGTACATTTTTGGGAAGGTGTAACTGGTGCGTCAACTAGGCCTTGGTTATTTTGGTTAAAGCAAGGTAGATTGGTCGATAATAGGTCTTGTTTAGCTGGCAACATCGCGACCGACTATTTATCGAAATTGAAATGTAGATGTTGGACCGGAAGGTTGAAGGGGGAAACCAAAAAAAATATTTTTTGTGTGAAACTATCTGCTTTCCACTTCGGGAGGAAGAACTGACAAAAGGAGGAAGGCGCCTTACTCGCGGGCACATCATATTACCTTTTGAGAAGACAGATTAGAATTCGCGAACTCCCCTTTGACGAGCTAAAAAGTTTCTGATGGTAGTTTTGGGAGAGCTACCCAGCAACTTCAATTATGGAGTGCGTCGTTGCGGGAAGGGAACGGTTAATGGTCGCAGGTTTCTCTTTCATCTGTTCATCCCTCCTAATGATTATGAGATAGCTTACAATGAAAATCACACCTTTCCGGCAAGCTAAGTGTCTCTTGGGTTCAGGAAGCGGATATAAAAGCCTCAAAGAAACTATTTATTGGCAACGAGCAAGAACACCACCGGAATCCTTTGAATTCCACTGAGCAACCAGGTTTTGCCATTCCCAGAGTTTCATCCAACGTCGATGACAAAACCATTCACGAATTCTAGCTTTGCCCATTTGCCACTGCGGTTCATACTGGAACTGGCTCCGCCATGTGTTCATAGGATCAATAGAATAATTCAGATGCCTGCCAAAGCAGTAAAGCACAAAACGGATTTTTGAAGACAGAGTTAAAGAGATTGCACACTTGGTATGCAGCTGAAAGGGAGAAGTGGACGTCTTATGCCAAAATCTGACGTATGAGGAGCAAATGGTAAAATTTTTTACAGCAGCCGTTGCCAATATCCCGCTTTTTGAGTTGTGATAGACGGACATGGTGAGCAGAATTGTAGCTAGTTGGTATCAAACGGCCGACATGAAAATAGTTATGGGTAATGTATAGCTATGATAATGATAATATTGCGAACATCGGAGTTCAATTAAACATGAATACAAGATACTGCTTGTATCGCAACCTCGTATTAAGCTATTGTGTGCATGCCATTTCACTTTGAGATATCAAGAAGCTCTTACTACACGCTTCCAAAACCATGTTAGAAGATGCGATGGGTTTCGACCATAAAACAATGTAGCTTCCCACATGAATGAATAGCAGATTTTTACTAATCCCGCGAGCTCCGGATAAATGCTTGACGATGGTGTAAGCCGTAGAAAATGTGCGTACAGGGCTTCCTGTTGTTCACGCGGAATCTCGGATATTCATATCATCATAGGAACCAACCAAAGTCAGAGTACGAAAGTAGGTAGGCAACATCTTTTCCAAAATGGGATGATTGAAATCTGTAGAGAATCAATAAATATCCTACGACACTCGAATATGTCATCTTAACAGCACTGATATGTTGCTCTCTCCATCAGAAGTACGTGTTCCTGACGTGTCATTTGACTTCAATACTAAACACACTTGGTCGCCAATCTTATGCTTGAGCTCTGCCCATTTGGAGCCTTCAGAAGTTCAGGGTCTCGATGGTAGACACCGAATGTACTGCGTGCGTACCATGGAGCAAGTCAGGCTGAGCCACCATCAACCCGGGGCACAATACTACTGGGTCGACATTGATGATAGGAATGGGTACATTCGTTTCATGGATAACTCAGGACTAACATGCTTCCGTACATCCATCTTGGAGGTAAGGCTGTGTTGCTTGGCGATGGTGATGATTTGTGAATTAGGTTGTGGGGGTTACGACAAGATGACGAACTCGAGCAGTATCTGCTTGCCACATGATGAGTTTGAATGTACAGACTCCAGAGTGGTTAATTGATTCAGAGAATTAAAGTATAGTCGACGGGAAAGCCATTGACGACTAAGGTAGGAAAAAGTAGGGAGTAGTTGTTCTTGATTTCAAATATAGTTCAAGTTACAGGTAAAAGACCTTACATCCTCCATCCAGTGGGTACTAGCTATACACAGCACAAAGCAGGAATAATTTAATCATTAACCTTATCTTCACTACAAGCAACAATCACTGCCCGGTATCATTATCATTATCATCAGATGGTCCCTCCCTCACCTGCCAATGACAGCAATATTAGAAAATTGATTGGTCTCATCAAACTACGCCGCATTTCATTTACCATCAGATCAGCCTTTCTCTTCGATCAATCAATCAACCAGCAATCAACAATCAATCAATCAACCAACCAACCAAACCAACCGCCTTCCCAGAAATAACCGCCCGTTAAATAAAATCATTTCTCCCTTCCCGCGACGACTTACCGGTAAGACGAGTACGCAATAAACGATAAACGGAATAAGAATCGAAACAAACTGTGTACCAGAAAGATACAACCTTATCAGTTGAAACTTCATGCACAACATCCATCTTTGAACCTCGAAATCTCACCCACTTCTCTCGCACAGTCACAAAAAGGATAAGACGGCTTTCGTTATCGTACTTCACAAGATCCCTCGTTATTGCATTTTCCCAATAAGACAGTGGTTTACGTGGTTTACGAGGAAATAAAAACATACTGCAAGTTGTTAAGGACGGGTTATTGCTTATCGCGGTCATGAAGGCAATGAAGAATATGGGCATGAATCGCATGCTGGGTTCACTAAAGCGCTGTAGGTAGATTCTCAAAAGAGATCCATTCTTCCTACATGCGCCATGAAGTAAGGGGGTGGATTTGAATTTAACTGACCATGGATATTCTACGTTACAGCCAAAGATCCTAACGAGGAAACTGGAGATCCTCAGCTCGATACCCCCGAAGTAAATGCTGCAAGAAATATTGTATGTTATTATCGCAGACGGACGAATCGACCGGAAGCCTGGTGCTGATCATAAATATAGCGTTCATTTTGCGAATCTGGAGGTCCAAATGGCTCAGTACGTATGATTTCTTGGACTGTCACAGTTACAAAGTATGATATAAAGTATGATATATCTAACATCTCCTAGGGTGAAGAAGTTCTTTACCTTCCTGCCATCGTCGAAGCAGCGGAATCCTCCCCAGGTGCCGCCAAAGAATGCGCATACCATATTAGAAAGTACCTCTCCAAAGACAACTTTAGCAAGCCTTACATACAGTACAATGCAATTATGCTGATTCGGATTTTGACGGACAATCCGGGGAAGACCTTTACGAGGAACATGGATGTGAAATTTATCCAAACTGTGAAGGAGCTTTTAAGAACCGGGAGGGATCCAAGTGTCAAGCAGTTGTTGATGGAAACTTTGACGACATTTACGAGAGACAAGGCAGATGATGAAACCCTAGCTCCTTTGATTGAAATGTGGAAGAAAGAGCAAGAGAAGATGGTCAAATTAGCAGCAAGTTTCCCCAAGCATTACCCATTAATTGATTCCGCCCTCTAATGCATCCCAGGGTCCTGCAGGTCCACGAACTCTCATCGCTCCGCCCTTTGATCCCAATTCGCAAAACTACTTTGGACGTAATCACCATACACATCGTCTTCCTCCTCCTCATGAACTCTCTTCCCGCATCGAAGAGGCTCGCACTTCCGCAAAACTTCTCTCCCAAGTTGTGCAATCCACACCTCCCTCCGAACTCCTCGCCAATGAACTCATCCGCGAGTTTGCTGATCGTTGTCAGTCTGCAAGCAGAAGTGTGCAAGCGTATATGATTGCGGAAAATCCAAGCCCTGACAATGATACCATGGAGACTTTGATCGAAACCAATGAACAGTTGAGCAAAGCTATGAATCAACATCAAAGGGCCGTGCTACATGCGCGGAAAGTGATGGGGCTTGGGAACGGAGAAAACACTACCCCTCCGTCTAGAACAAACTCGGGATTTACACCACCGCCCGGTCCACCACCGAGTCAAATTTCCAAACCTACCGCGAACAGTAGTAAGAGACCTGCGCCACCAATCCCGCCACCGGGAGATATAGCACCTATGGATGATGAAGAGGATGAACGAGACCCTTTCAGTGACCCAGAACCAAGCTCATCCAGGAGGCCGCCGTTTCCCTCTGATGCGCCACCAAGAGCAACTGGTCAATTCAATGACGCCCATGGTGTCGAACCCTACCACCCTGGTTTCAAGGAAACAAAAAGCTATGTGGGAAGACAGGATAGTAGCATAGGCAATGTCACCATGCATGCCGCTGTTTCTGAGAGGGACGAGGAAGACGAGGACGTCGAGCCGAGGTATTCTGTCCCTGTTGGCAAACAGCCAATCTATAGATACTAGGAGGCTTCCGAGAATATAACATAAAGTTAGAAAGGCATGAAGGTTTCGGGATGAACTCTACTTGAGTAAGGCATTTAGCATTGGTGGATACATATTGGAGAAATTTTCCGGGGTCGAGAGCGAAGCGGCATTTTGATACCTTGGGGATGTAAGACTTATCGAGAGGAGTTTGTAATGGATGGTATTTGTCAATTTAAGGTGGATACTGCATTAGTTCAATACTGTTTCCTTTCGTACCTGGGAATAATGGAGTCGTGAGAGGAAATGATCAGAAACCAGCCAATGCACCACGTCATTCCGACTGCCATACTTTTGAATGTTCCCTGGTAAAGATTATTACTCCACCGACCGCAGAAATATATTTTGCGGAGGTTGCAACACGTTGCGCCCAGAGTGAAGGATTGTGCCTCAGACGTCTGCATAATAAACCAATTTGATTCTGGCTAAGATTCTTGGCGATAGCCTGTTGTCCAAAGACTTCCCGAGTCGCCCTTCGAGATGGTGTCGTCACTACCGCATAAACTCGGTGGACTGAGATGGCTTGAGTAGAATAAAGTTTTGTAGGATGAATATCTCACTAAGAGTAAGATGAGATGGCTTATTCAAAGGGCTTCTTCCAATCAGACATTCTGTAGCGCAGCTAAAGGTGGCTTTTAACTAGTGATAATGTATATCACAGCATTGATTTATACGGCAATTCAGCCTATTCGTGGAATACAGCAGAGGCTGCCATATAAATTTATCAGATACGACAGATACGACATGCACTTTTTCTATATTATGGAATAAGGTTGTGGGAGTATGACTGGATGAGTTACGAAACCGAATTAACCAAATTCCAGTTTATTCCCAGTGCATGCATTGTGTCGATTCTTCCACTTGGAAATAGGAAATAGGAAATGATAAATAACCTTAATTCAAGAGGGCTGAGTGTGAGTTTAGACGGATCTGCTGAAAGTGGAGTGTGTCATGTACTACTCCGTATTCTGTATCCTGTATACTTTCTGGATGCATATACATATGCATATGTACGTACAAGTACCGGGCGGACTTTGGTGTACCATCCTGTCCTTTGATAATTTTGAAGTGTGAGTACGTGCGAGTACGTGTAAGCATGTACTCTGTAAGAATAAGGTTACAGTCAAAACTCGGTGAAAATGAGGTGAGATCTTACATTAGCACTAGATGAGCCACCTCATTTCGAATTTTGCCTCAATCCCGCTCTAGTTTTGTTGAGTTATATTCCATTAGACAAACACTTTGAATCGAAGTTCTAGCCCCAGTATAATTATAACGTCAAGATCAACGATCGTGTTCTACGTACTGCTACTATTATCCACCGCCCCGAATTTGAGATTCTTATTATGCAGGTACATATATTAACTTGCAGAATATACGGAGGAGCAAAGATAGGGAAAAGCTTCTTATCAAATCCACAAGAAGAGCCCATCAATACGCTCTACCAATGAAACAACTAATATCTACCGATTTCGTTTCACTCCAAAGCTTGGAACTTCCTTATCCAGTTAACGTTCCCCGCCTTTGCGGGAAAACCCCTCGTCTAATAACAACGTGGCTGCGGTCAGTCAGCTAGATCTTCAAGCAAAGTCCCTCGTACCCAACTCAATTTAACATTTCTCATCTCTTGTAATCAGTAGCTAATTATGGTACTGATACCTAGCTATAGATGGGGAACATAGGCGGCCGATGAATGAATATTATGGTTTTTATGATGGATCAACTTTTTGGCTTTGATTGGTTTGTGGTCTTTTTGTAAGTATTCCTTGAATGCAGTGTCATGTCTTCCTGCAGGTACCAGGGTCGACAAAGCTGATTGTCAACCAATTCCGATGTTCATCACTTGTCATGATTTTGTATAAGTACTTCGTCCTCCTCTTCCTCTTCATTCCCTCATCCATCACTTTCTAACTCACTCTCCCGGGTTGAAATCTCATGATGCCATCTCTTCACCTCCCTCAAGCCCTTTGCTTCGCCTTGGCACTTTTGCCTGCTGCGAATGCTGTCTCAATCCCATCGTACTCAAACCCAGCTAGCGATGCAAAGAATGGAGCTGTTGCCAGTGAAAGTTCGATTTGCTCACAAATCGGTATTGATATTATGAAAGAGGGAGGAAATGCCGCTGATTCCGTGAGTCCGCTCATTCAAAAGTCTGAAGTTTCTTATATAGTCATTCTAACACTGTCACTAGATTGTCGCAGTCCAACTCTGTGTGGGAGTAGTTGCAATGTATCATTCTGGTATAGGGGGCGGTGGTTTCGCGACTGTGCGATCAGCCAATGGAACTTATGAGTTTGTTGATTTCCGCGAGATGGCTCCCGCAGCTGCTTTCGAAACTATGTACAATCCTCCTCTTTCCAACACAGCTGCCTCGCTCTATGGTGGTTTGGCAAGCGGTGTACCAGGAGAGCTACGTGGTCTTGAACATATTCACAAAAAATACGGAGTCTTGCCATGGAAACAGCTAGTGCTTCCCTCTGTCAAACTCGCCCGCTATGGATTCAATGTTACCGCCGACTTAGTGCGCTACATGGCTTCCTCCACAACTCCCTATGACTTCTTGACTTATGACGAAACTTGGGCAATTGACTTTGCGCCAAATGGAACTCGAGTCAAGTTGGGCGATCTGATAACCAGGAAACGTTATGCCGATACGCTTGAAGTCATTGCCGAACATGGTCCAGATGCATTCTACACAGGCGCCATTGCAAATGCCACAATCACCGCACTTCAGAAAGCAAATGGGACCATGACCCTTTCGGATTTGAAAAATTACACCATCGAATCCCGACACACTTCGAACACCACTTATCGAGGCTTCAAAATTTTTAGTGGAACTGCGCCATCCAGTGGTGCTGTAGTTTGCAGTGTAATGAACATTGTCGAGGGCTATGATATGTCGACCCCAAGTCAGCTGAACTTCTCAACACATTACTTAGACGAGGCAATGCGCTTCGGCTACGGACAAAGAACCTTGTTGGGAGATCCAAAATTCCTCACAAACCTAACAAGTTACCAAGATAAAATGCTATTAAAAGCCACAGCTGCCGAAGTTCGATCGAGGATTGAGGAGTTTCAAACCTTGAACATATCTTCTTACGATCCTTCAAATTTCGACATTCTTTCCGATAGTGGAACATCTGCCAGTGTTACTGCTGACAAGAGCGGTCTTACGATCGCCTTGACATCTACAATTAATACCGTATTTGGTAGCAGAGTCATGATTCCAGAAACTGGTATCGTAATGAACAATGAGATGAATGGTAAGATTTCCACTCCACCGTGAAATTCGCACGTCATATTAACAACTCCTAGATTTCTCCATCCCCGGTGCAGTCAACGCATTCGGCTACTCCCCCTCCCCAGCCAACTTCATCCGACCATTCAAGAGACCCCTCTCCTCCATCTCCCCAACCATCGTCGAATTCCCCAACGGCACCGTCTACATTTCTCATGCCTCCGCCGGTGGTTCCCGCATCATCACGGAAGTAATCCAGCATCTCTGGCACGTACTCGACCAAAACATGACTTCAGCAGAAAGTGCGCGTCAACCAAGATTCCACGATCAATTATCCCCCAACACCGCCGTCTTTGAATATGGAGATCCAACTTTCGGAGTCGAAGGTTACAGTAATGAGACCACGGCCTTCTTCAGAGAAATCGGAGCCAATGTAACATTTATGGCTTTGGGGACTTCGACGGCCCAATCGCTCAGACGATTAGCAAATGGAACGTTTGAGGCGGCTGGTGAGCCTAGACAACTTAATAGTGCTGGTTATGCGATTTAGGGATTTTTTAATCTAAGGATACCCGTGTCCATGGGACATGATAATGAGTAATTTATCAATGAATAATTTATCAATGAATAGTTTATCAATTAACTACTGATCAAACAAACTCTTCCCGTTTCCAACTTTCTACTAGAATACTGTCGTTCATTGAGAATTTGAATGTCTGACCTCACAAGAACCCAGCCTCTTCGCCAACATTCATTGTATCCACCCGCAAATATAAAGAGTTCCTACCTACTCTTAAATTGTAAACTATACCCATCCAACTCAGCACATCGATTCCTATCCATCCCACACCAAATTCCCTCCCTATCAAGCTCATATCCATATCCATATCCAAAAGTCCCCTCGAGCTCCTCACCCCGCCTCATCTCCAGCAGTGCAGTCCCCTCGAAGAAGGACCACAGAGATAGGGTCCCAACTTTGAACTTCCAGGATGTGTGGTAGTACTATAATACTGTATTATTACAGGGTAGGGTAGGGTAGGATAGAATAGATAATATATGTATTAGAAAGACTAATTAACAATAATAATAAGACTGTACGGAGTAATAATAGCAATTATCAACTTTCAACTTGCCAACTAGGTAATCAAGATCTTACAAGTACAAGTGGCAGGTAGCCAAGCAAGCATGATGAGGTAAAGAAACGGGCTTAATAAATGGGGACATCGCATCGGAGGGAAAGACTACCTATTGCTGCCTAGGTATGTGTGTATCGAAGAAATATTTTCGATAAAAAAGTAAAGTTATTATTTTTCTTACTAAATACCTAATATTAAACAGCAACTCAATAAAAATACCCAAATCCGACGCGAGGATAGTTCAGTACCTATCTACCTAAACAATCAACATGGTAACTCTTACTTGAGACCTGATAAAGGCGATACTCACCTCACCCACTCACTGCCTAGACTGTAAATTTGACTACGCAAATATTAACTTATTACTTAAATTTGAGGGGTTATCTTTAAAATTGGCAGATACGAAAAGGTGCGGTGTAAAACATAATATTAATGGCCGTTGAGCGACAAATAAGGCTGGACGATAGAATTTCAAATAATGAGGTAAGACCCATCAATTCCCAACAAGAAAAGAATGCATAGGTATCAATAGTGGATAGAGACTGGAGCAGAGGGATAAATATATTAATGGAAACTTGAAAGGAATAAAATCACTTGCGGAATATTAGAGAAGCCACGCATTAGATAAAATACAAGCTTTATTTGACCGAGAACGTGATAACCGTTATCAAATAATAGACCAACAAGACATAACACAAACATTAAATACCTAATGGGATTGAGCATCTCATAAAAGGATCCAAGAAGTAAACTGGTATACTAAACACCTCGATGAAATTTCAAAACCTCCGCAGTAATCGACAGACAAAGCCTTCAAATCTTCAGTATTTCATCATTGATGAACCTTCAAGATGGCTATTCCTTCCATTTCATACCATGACCCAATCCGCCTCATGACCAGCCAACAGTAAAAACTTATGATTATTTTATCAAGTGAATGATCTCCAAGTACTCAAAACCCATCAGGTTTGGCGACGTCCAGCATATTAGACGAGATTCATGATGAATGTGGATTCAAAGACGAGACAACACTTCAGCCAGTCATCCTATCTTGGTGCTATCTCTATGACATCCCATGTTTACATATTGCTAGCCGCGGCTGCTGCTGAAGCCATCTGGGCCAACAAGGTATGTTCAGCGGATACTCTTCTTTCTTGCTCCGGTTTCGGTTGCGGTGATTTGACTTGCAAGGTGGCGGCGACAGTGGGAGAACGATGGTTAGTGTTCAATGTATTTTGAGGACGTAGCTCAGCTTCCAAACCAGAAAGCATCGACATGTGTTGTGTATGAACCTAAAACATTAGAGACTTAGCAATTGTCAAGTGAACCGTATAATAAAAACAAATTGACCATCGATAGGTGCGGAAAACTTACTGGAACCTGTCTACTCGATCCACTTGCTCCAATAGTAGTAACACCGCCACTAGTACTTGCTAAATTTGATCGCTCTGGCGTATGTTTCTTATCAACAATTAACAATCCATCTTCTGATGCAGCTGGAGATTCTCGCTGCGTTAGAGCAGATGCTGTGGCTTCAAGTTCTCCATCTTTGACATCTTTCCAAGAACACTTAGCATGCTTCTTTGTGCATGCAGCACAAGCAGTCATATGCTTGATGCACGTGAATCGTAACCGTCTGCATCGATCGCATGGTGGGTTAATGGGGTCCCCTTTGTGTAGTTTCTCGATCCTGGCAGCCATCAAAACCCGATATTGCCCTTCGATGCCGTCATCAGAATTAGATGGTGGCTGCGATACTCGTTGGTGATCAGAGCTTTGAGGTGCACCATTGAAAGAATGAAAATTTGTATGTTCAGAGGTGTGAAGTCGAGGTTGTTTCGATCTTGGCTGAGATGGTAGGGATTGACGACGATTTGGGCTGTGAAATTGCTCTAATAGATCTTGCTGTAACTTGGCAGTCTCACCATTAAGGGAAGCGGGTGATCGGCTTCTATTGATCGCAGAAAATGGCTGAGATGCAAATGGGAGGGGAGATTCAGAAGGTTGCTCAGGAGACTTTTTCGCCACGATAGCATTCTTTCTTCCTTTCAAATGGTAGTTGAGTTGTCTCGCTCGACTTGCGACGGCATCAGCCTTCTTGATTAACATAGTAAGACGATTCTCGAGAATGAGTAGGGTGCCGAGCTCAGACGTCTCATCCTCGGGCATAGGTTGACTTGGAATCATCCTCTCCGGAGCACCTGACATGATCAAACGATAATCGTCTTCAGATATTTCGACCTGCCCTCCATTGATCCAGAATCGACAAACTTTCACGCCATGCAATGATTCGGTGAGAATAAAGTCTGCTGGATTACTCCGGGCGAAAGAGACAATCTCTAACCAGGTGATGGGCGTTTGTTCAAGAGCATAGGAGCTTTGAATGACTTTGATTGGGCCGTCAAAAAGCTTCTCAAATGACTTCAAAAGTAGAGGACCAACTAGTTTGGCGCCGAGATTGGATGCTAGACTTTCACGACGTTGAAGGACGCCTACCTCAGTCAGCAAGGCTCTTCCCTAAATGCTCGCAGGCAAGTAGAATTCCCTCCCTTGCTCCCCACCGAGCGGGAATGAAATCACGTGATAGATACATACCTTCGTATTCGTCCAACATGCCCAAAACATCTCCGAAAGTTTCGGAATCTCCCTCGACCAATTTGAGTCTATCGCTCCTAGCTTTTACCAAATAGTTGATTTGTGCAGCGGCCGTTGGAGTTGCATTTTCGCCCAGTCGAGGAGCTTGAGTTATTCGTCCGTGGCCCTGACTTCCAGAACTTTCCGGACTACGTTTTCGCTTTTCGCCCTGAGTTTCCGTTGTAAGTTCCATGGCTATGATTTGAAGACAATTGTACGAGGTGATAGACTTTCAATTGAAAAGTATTTGAAGTGACTATGTGAGTATGTGTATGCTGTATATGTGTATATGTGTACATGAAGAAAGAAAGATGAGCGGAGGAGAAAGGTGGAGAAATGGGAGAGGCGCGGAGAGCTGGCAATAAGTTGTCGAGAACAAAGGAAGGGATGAGCAGAGGGTTAGTTTTTAATGTTTCAAGCCGGTTGTGGTATTAAAATACACACGGGACCAAAACAGGATGCGATGCGATTATTGGTAAAGCAAAGTTTCGATTGGGATTGGGGAGGGGAGAGCGATGGGGCGAAGGGGCGATGGGGAACAATGCGGATTTGTGAAGGAAACTCTTTGCACAAAGCGGAAGATGGACCTCCGCTGCGTCGCGCTTTCGCTTTCGCTTTCATAGAACTACTCATACACGTGACGATAACCTTTTCTGCCGCCTTTTCCTGTTTCCTGTATTCCCTGCCTTCCCTTCCTTCCCTGCCTTCCCTGCCTTCCCTGCCTTCCCTTCCTTCCTCCCACTCTGATCGATGTGAATTCCCTTTTTCCAAGCTCATTCATCATGTCATTCATCATTACCCTCCGTATCGTACGTACATGCAAGGAATAATGAATGTAATTAGAATTGAACATTCAAACTTTCTCCCAGCCTCAAAACATGCTTTCTCCATTAAAACTAGTAGGCCTGGAATTATCACTTATTATCATAGGCTCAATTAAATATGTATACTCCCGTATACTTTTCGATGTTTTTCTTCGTTCTTTCATTGTGCCGCCGACATTCCGCTCCCCTCTCCACTGGAGAACTGGAGAAAGGAAGCGATAACCGGATAGCTATAGCAGCTACCTACCTAGTATATTGCAATTGGTACACCTGATCTATAAAGTATATATACCATTTCGTTCTTCAACACTACTAGACATTTAGACGTTTAGACATTTCGCAAGAACTTACAACTCTTTATCTCTCGGTATTTGTGCATTCGGTTAAAGAGATTACTAAACATAGAAGACGGAATTCCGTTCATTTCCCCATTTTTATCTGTAAAATATTCATCCCCCGCTCACCAGTCCTGCATCATTCATGCATCATTCCTGCATCATCCTGCATCATCCTGCGATTATCAGAAGTTCAATAAATCATTCAATTGATTACGCATCAAATAGCATATAATTCCGACGAAAACTCGCCGTCTTGGCATTCGGTTGAGCTTCGGTCGGATCATCCACGCCGACCTATGCCTGATATTCAGCTTCACCAGGCAGAAATCTCCAGCCGCGAGATGTAGAGACGGTCTGATATTCATCCGACGGAACAACATCCGCGGAATGATAAAGTGCCTGGATTATACGGCACCAAGTACGTATAGCCTTGTACCGGTAGACATCGTTTATCATGGACAAGGATAAGGAAAAATGGTGATTATGTTATCGTGTATCGACGAGGCTGAAGTTTTCCAAGCTCTAAACATAACATATACACAACTTCAGCTGCGTCCAAAATAGCCAGAATACTTCTCTTCCAACCAAATTCCCACACTCTTTTTACTATTGATTCAATACCGTAATTAACCCTGAACTCATAAAATATAACACCATTTTTTTACTGCACTGCCACTAACAGATACGAGGGATTCCTGTAGATCTCATTAATACGAAAAGGGGCAGCCGCGCGCCTCATTCTTCTTCTCTACAATAGATATCTCAATCAATTGGAACCAACTACTTCACCACTTTCACTACTGTCACTATTAACTAATTTCACCACTTTCACCGCTTTCATTACCGTAGCCACCTTTACTACACTAATAATTTACTTGTCGCTCCCACAAAAAGAAACAAAAAATGGCTTTCACCAATGGAGTTACAAAAGGTCTCTTTGGACCTGAGCTCGTCTCCCCTGAAGTTGCCAAATCCCTTCCCGAATCATATACTCTTCGCGCATTACAAAAGTCCGATTATGCCCTCGGCTTCTTAGATGTTCTACGGGTCTTGACTGTCGTTGGGGATATCACCGAAGAGCAATGGAATGAGCGGTATGATTGGTACAGCAATCAAGGAAAGGGTGGTTATTATCTGTTGGTTATTGAAGATCAGGGGAAGATTGTCGCTACTGGTGCTCTGATTGTAGAAAGAAAGTTGTAAGTACATCTAGACGTACTAAGGTTCTACTCATGGAGCGATGAATACTGACGTATTAATAGCATTCACAACCTCGGTCTTGTGGGTCACATCGAAGACATCGCTGTTGCGAAAGATCAACAAGGAAAGAAGCTTGGATTGAAGATGATTCAAGCTCTTGACTTTATCGCGGAGAAGACTGGTTGTTATAAAAGCATACTGGACTGTAGTGAAGCCAACGAGGGATTTTATGTTAAATGTGGTTTCCGGAGAGCTGGATTGGAAATGGCGCATTACTACGAGCATTGATGACAAGCATTGAGAACAAGCATTGAGATTATAGGATTGGATATACAGGTATATTTCGCACTGGTAAGGTTGGGATTGGGATTAAACATAGAACGTCATAGATGGAAGGTTAAAAGGGCACCACATGCAGGTTTGATTTTGGTTAAGAGTAGGCCAAATACTTCCTGAAAATTCAAAACAATGCATGTTAGATTACTGGAATTTCGCTCATCATCTGTCTGTTCAAATTTCATTATATCTCAAGGCTTTAAACCCACTTTGGCTTCCTAACCGCTTTCTTTTTTCTGGTAGAGCCAAAGCCAGTTCTCAATCCAATTGGACTTGACTTGATAACAATTTTAGGTTCCTTCTTGATCGGTATTCTAGTAACGCCAGCAGGGCTCATGAAACCAAGACCAGAGTCTCTAAATCTTATATCCAGACCATTCCTCCTCGGAGGTAGTGAAATAATGGTTTCTTTGATCACTCCCTTCCTGTAGTTTGTGATGGGCATAGAAATTCCTGCCCCAATAACCACGTCGGACGACTCGTCAAACCCATAATTGTCAGAATCTACGGACAATCTCCTCACTCTCCATCTCAAAACATCCTCCTCAGCCTTCTCCAATAGTCCGCCTAGACTTATACATCTCTCGACATTATCGTTCAATCCAATCCTATTACACTCTTTGCCATCCTCAAACGCTGTATTACTCAAGCTTCTTTTCCATTCATTCACTGCGTTAATTTGAGACTCCGAATGACCGTCCCCTACTTTAGTACCGTCATTGCACCTCGAGAGCGGTGGGTTAGCAATCCACTCATCCACCCTTGCAATGTTTAATTCTTCCACATATTCTTCCACCACATCAGCCAACTCGATCATCTGCTCAACTTCCTCTTCCATGATCAATACCATTTCTGTCAACCCACCAAGTACATCTCCCTCCAATCTGTCCAGCTCCTCGCCACACATCATTTTTTCTCCGGTAATTGTTTCCATTATAGAAGCAATCTCCTGGAGCAAAGATGCGAGCTTGTGAGCGGTAGTTCGATGACCTGGAACAGAAGAATTTGGAGCTTGCGGGAGAAGCTCGAACGGGGATAATATTTTGGATTCGCTTGTAGAAGTCATCTGGACTTGCGTTAGGACATTTGGATGTCTTTTCGTAGTTACCACGCCATTGTTGTTCTGAACTGTATGCTTTGACATTTGATATTGTCGTAAATTGATGTCTGAACGGTAGTGAGAATATGTGGCTTCTAAATTCTGTTTGGACAAGGAGTGAAAGGCTTCAACAAAAGGATAATTGACGATAGGCCAGGGACTCAATTATCAACGAAGGATTTTATTTTCTTTCGGACTACGAAATCTTTGATACGGTTCCATGGCTATATGAATTGTAAATAATCGGTACTAAAAATAATATTTCCCGCATTTCAAGATGGGGAATAATAAAATGCCGTTGGCATGGGAATCTCCTTCATGCCACCGAAAATTTTGAGGACCTCCCGCATCATCAATCGGGAATGGCATGATGGTATTGCTTTTTAAGATATAGAAATCATGCAAAGAATTGCGCCCACCTGTGCTTATCAACGGATTGGACAAATTATCAACCAGGGCTCGTATAATAAAGGGGAAAGAGTTTGGCCAATCAGGACCAGCTCGCACGGTACATCATGCAGTTGTAAACGCATTTAACCTCGAGCTGAAAAAAAAAATGAATAATGTTTTGCCTTTTGTATTTGTATACCGAGGCTGTGGTACCTTGATTCATAATGAACCTGTGACAAGGAATGAATTTGTCTGTTCTTGTTTCGTGTGAGCGGGACATGATTGTGATGTCTGATACTCTGGATGGACTGGTTGGATGTGGCCATTTATTAATCTTTGCAAAGTTGCAAATGTTTGAATTGAAATAATCTGAACCTTTGAATCGGATGAAGGGTCAAAAAAGAAAAAGTCTTCAATGGCTTGACCACAATTTCAACTATTGGAAACCCTCAGGGCATGGAAACGGATTCAATGGTGCAACAAATGTTGAAATAAATGTTGAAATATTTATTGTACAGTACTGTCTTCCTGGCACTGATAAAAATTACAAAGAACAGTGAAGAAGCTTTAACCATAGCTTCGAATAATTCATCCGTACAGTCGAAAAATCAATGAAACCGATTTTTTTTTGGCCGAGACACCGCCTCATATAGAAAATGCATTTCACACCAGGCTTCATCCTACGTATATCCAAAGAGAATGAACCTAAGAAGAGCCGCTGGGCTTTACTACACTTGCGTCAAGTATCTCTGACGATTGAAGGATCGCTAGTTCCTTGGACATGTACCTTCAAGGTCTTTTGGTCCTTGCCCAGTCCTCGAAATCACATCAACTGATTTGTAAAAGCCCAAATATTCAACATCATGATATATTCATTTCAGTTGTATTCTTCGCCGAAGTACTTTCACTTCAGCGCCTTCTGATATCATGTCTACATCCATTTAAAGAGATGCGTTGTAAACTATTGGTTTTGATGTTGAGGGTGTGTCCGGTTTTCCTCCCTGAGCGCGTCGAGATGGCCATGTAGATTTTATTCCCTTCCCCAGGAATCAACCCTTATCCTTTTAATCCGTTTCTCATTCTTCTTGTTGTACGAAAGGATTCGCTATTTCTTCGCTGCCATCGACTGGACTTATTCCAATGAGTAAGGTTCCTCTTGCAACCACTAAACCCAATGCTCTCCATGCTTCATTTCCTTCATCGTCTGCGAAAGAATCCACATCAGTATGAAATTTGTAAAATACAAGGAGTGTTTACCAGTCAACTTTTCCTCCACATCATCCAAAACCAGATTCATCAGGGCATCATAACCCTTCAAAGTGCCTTTCACTATGAGGATTCATGTTAGTAACCTCTCTAATTTTACCACAAAACCACTAACATACCATGTCTGCCACCATTGAACTTAACTGTGACCTGCTTATCCATGTACTTTCCCAAATCCAAGATATTTTCCTTCTTTGGTTTCTCGAAATTTCCCCCGCCATGTCCACCCCTCTCCCCACCATGCCCTCCTCTACCACCTCCCCTGCCACCTCTGTGTTCACCATGACCTCTACCACCTCCACGACCGCCACCTCTGTGTTGACCCCTTTCAGACATCCTGTCGCATGTATGAGAGAAGGCTGTCTGCTCTGTGTTGGGGTAAGTATGTGAAGAGTATTGACGGTACAAGTAATTCTAGAACTTTTGTTTTGAGTTGCTCCAGCAAATGATGCAAGCCGCTAGAACATAGCGATCTTAGTGGTTGGGATGGGAAGGCTGTGGAGGCAAGGCTGACAATGTGGCTGAAACTTAAAATGTGGCGGGGTAATTTTGGCACGTTGGGTAGCTTTTTTGGCGATTTCTTTCCTTGCCAATTCAAATCCAGCTGGAAGGAGCAAATTATCACGAATTTGACTTTGACTTCAACCATACAATACTAGGTATTAGCACAAACTGTGTCGGAGTGATGGATTCAAAACCCCTATCTCTAAATTGAGAATAAATCATATCCTCAAATGACCAAGAGACTTGTCTTGAGTGCAGAGCCGCTGGCCACTGAAGGGGATTCCCTTTGAACCACATTCCAATCCAAAAAATACCCGTTACTATAGCAATTGACTCCATCTTTGCGACAGTGAGTGTTTTCATAGGTAGGTGCAATTTTTCAAAATCTTCACATTCTTGACCGTCATGTTTTGTTACTGCCAATAGCACATTCCATGGCCAGCACATTGTCACATGTCAAATGATCTCCAAGTCTATTATCAACGCCCGCCACCATTCAGAAAACATCATACCGCATCATGGGAGGACTATACAACAAATATCTCAAACCTATCAAACTCGACACCCCATCTTGCCCGCTTCGAGCATGAATTTTGTAAGTCCGTTGTCGAGAAAGCTTTAGTTCCCGAATCATACTCGAAACCCTCATTCACATAGCACAATACGATGAATTTGCAGGAGTTAGAACCTCGAGCTCTGGAGGCCCTAGGTGAAGAGGAAAATCGTCAAGTAGAGGTCACAAGGGAAAATGCAGTAACACACTTCGAACATCTGCCTCGGATTACTCGAGAATCAACGCTTCTCCCAGCGCCAATTGCCAATGCTGTCAGCTTGCTAACAAGGTCTTCCTCTCTGTATATTCGACTTGGCACATTCATAGGAGGTCTTGCTATAGACGGTGCACGCGTAACAACACTCACCGGGTTAGAAGTCAGTCGAGCTTTCATCGAGGGGATAATACATCGTGCTGGGAAAGATGTGGCAAATCGTAGTACCGGAGAATTGGGAAAGTTAGAAGCAGAAGGATTGTTAGAACGAAGTATTGCAAATTTACACGCTACTATCACAGGAATATCATTCGCTGCTTCTACCGGGTTTCATTTCTCTTCTGTTGCTTTGTCTTCAGCTACCGACATTTCACAACAGTTACTTGGTACCCTAGATTCAATTCTTGGTTCAACCGATTCTTCAAGGGCCATAGCAAGCATCATCACCTTAATTCGACGGGAATTTCAGAACCCCGCCACGGGAGTGGAAGGAGAAAGAGTCAGTGTGGGTGATCTCTTGTTGGGTATATGCGGGTTAGCATTGTTGCAAAGATGGTGTCGTAGATTGACAGACGTCGAGTGTCGAGAAAACAAATATGAGGAGGTCCTTTGGGATGTGGTTGTCCTTGATGATGGTCGACGAGCGGATGTGGTTGGTATGATCAAAAGCGATTCATATAATGATCAGGAAGACCGTAGAAGATTATCTTTCATGAATACAACAGGCGATGAGCTGTTGGAGACGATTGAAAGAGAAGAGTCAAGCCAGACCGACCCAGGAGAGAAAAAGGCGGAGAGTGTATTGAGGCAAAGGTTAATCCAATCTTTACCCTCCGATGCTTCTGTTTCTATCACAACCTCCACAATAACAACTACTACAAAGACAATCACCGTGGAAGTTTCGGGATTTGAACCTCCAGTATTTTTACCACCCCCCGGAGTGGAAATATTGGAAGAGCATGCTTTTTATGTTGAAGCAGACTCAAATGCTGGGGGTAAACAACCAGAAATGCCGTTGCTGCCGAGGTATAGAGTTGTATATGGCATTGTGGGAAATAGGTTACGAAGAACAAGCGTTACGGAAGAAGATTTACATCCGAATATAGAGGAGGATACGGATAATGATAATTATTCCGGTGATGATTACGACCACGAAGCTCTCAACAACACAAGCCCGCCCAAGACACCCACAACGACTCTTGTAGACGATCCTTTGCCTATAGGAGACGATAATCCTCCCATTCTTGTTCGCCAAAATAGTTCCATTAGAAAATCCAAAATACCCAGGCTCTCCTTACCCAGCACTACGGACGAGAATTTTGAAGGAAATATGGAAATTTTTCAGTCAGCCTCAGACAACTTGGCAAAAGCAAATCAAAAAAGGTCAAGGAAGCCCATCAGCCCAATCTCACCGGATGAAACTCCTAAACCAGCTTTCCTCAAGCCGATTTCGAGCAATCGTATGTCCAAGAGATCGAAATTCGAGGAACCAACCACGGAGGAACCGGATAAAAAATCTTCTTTCCGCCAGGCCTTGAAGCGACGATCTAACACTAAATTATCGAGTTTATTCAATAAAGATGGAAATAAAGAAGATAGCAAACCCAAACTTCCACCCCGCCCTCGCCCAACATGGGGCGACCCAACTCATGCCTCTAAAGTTAGATCTAACTCGTCTCATCTTTCAGTCCCTCAGAAGCAATCGAGAAATGTTGTGGGTTCCCCATTAATTCTACGTGGAAATCAGATCCCTTTGACATCGGAAAATCTTGACAAGATCCAGCCTGATTTACCTCGCACTCCTTCGAGAACTAATTGTTACACGATTCATGAGCGACGGAAAGACTCGATGGTTTCTCAAACTGATATCTATTCAATCCACTCTTTTGACCAAACACGTTCTCATTCTCCAACCACGCCGAGGAATCGAGTCATGGGACAAAATAATGCTATGAGGTTGAGATCAGAGAGGAGTTTGACCCTCGAACAGTCGTTTTCGGCCCCCAAAAGCCATCGCCGCACACGTTCAAATGAGGAGAGTATATTCACGTTGCACACAAATAATTCTGAGATTTGTCTGATTCCAAATTCTGGAACCGCGAAAGGAAGCTTTGAAAGTAGAGAAGCATTTGATTCTCTACTGCGTACTGGTACAATTGATGGTACCTTTCCAAAACAACATATCGTACAAAATATAACCCGTTTTGTCAGGTTCGCGTCAGCTTCTTACGGTTCTAACTTTCTTCGAGTAATGGGAATCTCGGATCCTGATGCAAGAAAAGAGCTTGATGCAATACATCACCTTGAACATCAATCATTCTCCTCTCATACACAACTGCCCGCTGAAACTATTCTCCTCTCTTCATTCGTTGATCCTCAAGGTGGGACTGACTCCAGTGGATTGACAAATACGGGCGTCCCTATGGTTCATTATGTATCGCTCGACCATCAATCGCAGGCTGTAGTCCTCACATGTCGTGGTACCCTTGGCTTTGAAGATGTTCTCGCTGATATGACCTGTGATTACGATGAGCTTGTCTGGCGCGGTAAAGGATACAAAGTTCACAAGGGAATTCATGCCTCTGCTCGTAGACTTCTTCAAGGTGGTGGAGGTCGTGTTATGGCTACAATTAAAGCAGCACTAGAAGAATTCCCTGACTACGGGTTGGTTATGTGTGGCCATTCTTTGGGTGGTGGCGTAAGTACTTTGTTGGCTATCATGGTTTCCGAACCTGCTAGCTTTGGTACATCTTTCGTTACTTCTTACAACCCCGAACATTCATCCACATCCGAAAACGCTACAAACAGTTATTCTCATATGCTGCACCTCCCACCAGGTCGACCAATTCATGTCTATGCCTATGGTCCGCCCGCCACCCTTTCTCCGTCCCTTCGATCTGCAACTAGAGGCCTTATAACAACAGTAGTTAATGGTAATGATCTTGTCCCTCGCCTCTCCCTTGGTCTGCTTCACGACCTTCAAGCTGTAGCACTCGCATTTAAGAGCGATAATTCTGGTGCGAAAGGTGAGGTAAAAAGAAGAGTCTGGGCAGGGATGAGTAATTCATTTTCAGAAAGATGGTATGGACGATCTGGTCATGGGAATGATGAAGAGGAGGAGGATAAATGGGCATATGCTGCACTCAAAGCGCTCAGAGCTTGTATGTTGAGTAGCAAGCTAGTGCCACCTGGTGAGGTTTTCGTAGTTGAGAGCATGGCTGTATTGAAACGAGATGCTTTCGCAAGGAAGAGTGAAATGAGTGGTGGGCAAAATAATAGAGGGGAAGGTGGGCTAGGCAAACCAGCAACTAGAAGCGTGTTGAAGTATGTGAGAGATGTTGAGAAGAGATTCGGTGAAGTGAGGTTTGGTGGTAGTATGCTGTTGGATCATAGTCCAGGTAGATATGAAAATAGTTTGAGGGCCTTGGGAAAGGGTGTTTTGGGGAATCAATGATTTTCTAAAACAGAATGTTTCATAGCACCTTCGTTTCCAATATTAGATTTGACAATTGAAGGGGTATTTTGGTTAAACCAAGGCATGATGATTAATCAATATCAACTTGGCTCTGCAATTATTACATGCTTTTCGGGAAGTTCTCGTGCATAAGACACACCATGCATAGTTATACGGATGTGTAGATTTTTCCTAGAAAATTCATTTTGTTGTTACTTTTCCATGCCAAACTGCATTCTTCACCCACTTTCTATTCTGATAACTGCATATTTTCATTCCAACACGTTTAAATCCAAACTATGTGCTAAAGTGATTAGTGTCTTGTAATTTATTTTATACTAGTCAGTAAGTAGCTTCTACCAAATTCACCATCACTTCTAGGCCGAGATGACTACATTCGTTAACGTTATCAATCTTTGCCATTTGGACATCTTTCGCCACAGCAACACGACAACCATTGCCATTAGTCGATCTAGGATATGTTGTAAACCAAGCGACCATTGAAGTATGTTACAAATGAATCCACAGTATGTTCTTAAAGCTAACATCACGACGACCATTAAAAGTGGAAGATATTACAACTTCTCAAATATTCGGTACGGAGAAGCTCCCGTTGGCCCACTACGATTTTCCAGACCTATTCCACTACAGACTATCTATCAATCGAACTATCAATACCAATCAACAAACAAGAACATAACTATCAAGCACATCCACTTTGATTATCGACGGCATAACAATATATTCATAATG